GTGAGAACCCGGCGTGCTCCGTCCCGGCTTTGTAGGGATGCGAGGTCAATGGTCTAACGACTACGGCATGCACGACTATGAGTACCAGCCCCCCCCCCCCCCCCCCTCTCTCTCGAATACACAAGAAGGTGCCAACAACTACGGGTCCTTGCAAAACACTGCTGCAACTACTGTCTAGGGTGGTCGTGGTGTACCAGCGCTCCGAGCAGCACACAGCACCAATGAACGAAAGGACTGGGAACCCCGGCGACAGTCGTTTTTCATCCCCGCTTTATGCGGTACCGGTAGGTTAAGCCTATTGCTGGTAACCGGGGCAATCGGCTAGTGTACAGTACGCATGCATATTATCCATGGTTGCAGCCATGGTTGGTTCAAACCACAACAAACTGCTGTGGTGGCAGAACTGGCAGAACTGGCTGAACTGGCTGAAACATGAAAATACTGGCTGAAGAAAATCTCAAAATCTCTGTTATTCATCGTGGCCTATGTAGACTACACACATACGCAGCGTCGCGCCACAAGATGCATCCGATGACACACCCACACCCCAATGTATGTGTGGGACATTTGGCGGCAACTAGATTACGGGAGTGATGAAGATGTCGCTTGGCAGGCAGCTTTGATGGCGCTGACATGTGTACAGGTCCTGTCAGAACAATTCTGCGTTGGTGCAACATCACGTAGGTTGGATATTGGATAGATACAACGGGCTGACTACCCGGTGGAGAATCAAATCAATCACTAGCGTGCTGAAACACGGTCGCGTCGTGCGACTTCGGGTACTGCTTAACCCAGAAGACCAAACACACATACCTTTGTGTTCCCTTGCACGCTTCCAAATAAAGATGGGAATGACACCCATGCGGTGGCTGGCTCAGTCTGCTGACGATGTGCAACCCGGCGACTCGACTGGGACGGGCCGGCTCTCACACCCTCCAAGTTGGCGGACAACAGCAGCCCCACCAATGTCAATGCGATCGATACCATAGTCGTCGAAGTGTAGCGTCTGGTATCAAGGGGGTATTTTGTGTGTTGTTTGTCTTTGTGATGTGCGTGAGGGTCAGGTTGGTTGGTGGCTGTGGGCCTTTTCTCTCCGCTCCGCAGTTTGAAACCCACCGTTTCACAACGCTACCGCGGTACCCATCGCAAACTCTCAGCTGCGGCACAGCACGTGCTGACTTCCTCGTGTGCGTACCTCGCGCTGGCTGTGCTGCTGTAGAATATAGTTAGAGCTGTACACCCGCCATTATCACCCCCTACGCCGCTACCGTGCTCCGTACACCTCGTTTCCTTCTTTGAATTCATAACCAACCAAAATCTTTGCATGCATATCTTAACCGAATTAAAGGGCCGGATTGTTGCATAGACGATACATGTGGTCCCGTTTCAAAAAGAGCAAAAACATGGGCTAGACTGCTGTGGTCCCGTTTCAAAAACGCGCTGTTTGGTTGTTTCAGCCTCCGACTCTTTCGCGTGGAGGGAGAGCAAGGCATACAAGCTGCTGCGATCGGAGCCTCACGCGCAGCGTGCCCGCGGTCGGTCGTGGCGCAGCGAGCGTGTAAACGTGTGGCCAGCGGCTGCGGTCGCAAAAAAGAGGTCAAATCGTTTTGGGGGAGTGCTGCTGCTGTGCTGCGTGTGTGCTCTGATTCAAAACAGCCTCACGGGTACAAATCCAGTGCTTTCCTTTCGCGTAGAGGGAGACCAAGGCGCAAAAGGTGCTGCGCGCCGCGTCTCGCGTCGAGTGCGGCCGCGGCCATGGCGCGGCGAGCCTGCGGAGGTGGCGGCGACCACCTCATGTTTTGAAACTGAAAAAGATTCGCCGAGCAGATTTTTTGCAGGAAGATCCGTTCTCTCGTGTATGCACCTGCCAAACTATTATACTGCTGTATGACGTCCACGACACGTGCCTCCCACAAAATAGGGCATGCAGAAAGAAATCGCACAGCAGTACCAACAACAGCCACACCAACTACGCCGCTTCTGGCTACGAAAAGGGGGGGGGAATGAGGGTGGATGGATGCGCCGTACATCGTGTTCAAAAAAAGTGATTCGATGTTGCACATAAATTGCAGACGTTTTTAATGTAGTAGTTGAGTAGTTCCGTTCGCTCGAGTCTCAAAAAGTACTTGGAAAACCTATTGATAGATCTCATCCTACATGCACACGTCTCGCGCATCATAGGCAGGAAACAAGAACGGCAGGCCTGGCGAGGCTACAATTTAGCTGTACAAAAAAGAGCCGAGGATGCGCTGTCGCTGTTCTTGTCGTGAAAACAAAAGAATTCTCATCGCGAAGCAAGACCCGTCCGTCTGGCTTTCTTCGCAAATCTTCACCCCGTCGCGGAGGAAAAAACCGATGATGGACGTGAATTCCGGCCGCAAGCGCGGTCAAAGTTGGTTACTGAGATAGCACCAGCTTCGTGTTCCACGCACGTGACGCAAGCAAACAGGAAGGGCAAGCGTTACACTTTCCATTTGTTTTGACGGTATCACTCGCTCCAGTCTCTGCTCAGGACCTTGTTACATCCGTACCGACCCAACTGACGCGGACGCCTCCCGCGGCCACCACAGACCAACCACCGCCCCGAAAACGGGTGTGAACTTCGAATATCAAAAAAAAACAAAAGGGCCCAGAAAAAACATCACAAAACACGACATTACAACACAAACAGCTTTAAAGACAACTATGATCAAAACATCATCTCACGCGTCGCCACAGCAGTATGTACATACATACAGCCTCGGTTTTCCATCTACTGAAGTAGTGCTCTGGCATTTCCTCGACGACACCAACAAGACCGCCATCGCCTTACTCCAACACGAACCAAAACCCCGCCTGTGGATTGTGTTGGTTCCACGGCTAACAACAAGGCCTCATACTATCCTCCTGGCATGCACTGCTTCAGGTTAGTCCATTCACTATCTGCCGAACGGCAATCTGCATGTACGCGCATAAAAAAAGCGGCCCCCTAGGATATATGCTGTGGAGACCGGCTGCCAGCGACGGAAAACGATAGATGGGTGTGCTCTACGCCAAGCGAAACGTTCAGTCACTAGGCCATTCAGTGCTACCAAAGAACCGCTATCGATCTATCCGCAGTACGCCATCGATCTGCACTATGCCAGTGTCGCCTCCGGCGGCAATGGGCAATCAAAGCCAAACAGAACTATTTGTGGGGAACAAGTTTCGTTTCGGAGATTTCAGAGATTCTAAGATGGTCGCCCCGTGTTGAGGCGACTCGCCGTCAAGGGCCTAATGATGTGATCGTCGGTGCTCCGACTAGAATCCCCGCCAAGGGCCTAAGGAAGTGATCGTCGCTGCTGCTGCGCTCTGAGTGCATTACCCGATCTGGCAGCCAGCTAAGCACCTGCACAACACTACACGATTGGTCGACTGGCCGGACCAAAGTAGTTCATGAACAAGCCCATACAGGCAAACCTGTGTCAGAGGAGGAGGGGAAAAACCGGAGCGACAACAGCAAAACAACCAACACAGACTTGTCAGCGACGGCGATGCTTGAGAGGTAACCCCTACATTTAGCACCCGCACTTTCGAACGAACCTCTAGTTGTGACCGAGGCTGGGGATCTTACGCACTTCCGCAGGGTTATTGTACGAATGGCCGCTATATAGTTTTTAGTGTAGTGGTTCTTACAATGACCGAGCTCATTGATAGTGTTCAAGTTGTTAGATGGTGAGTTTTTCGAGGCTACATCAATTTCTTAAGTGACTGCCAAGTTCGTAAGTACGGGCGCAAACTGTAAAGTTGTACCCGTCGCGAGCGACGCACGAGGCCTGATTTGGAAATTAGGACGTTCAGCAGTGTCGTGCTGTCCGAGTGGCAGTTGCTAGATGGTCTAGTTGATGGTGTTGGTGATGTTCTCACGGCAATGTCGGTCGTCTTTGTGGTTGTTAGTACAATTACAAGTCACGAGCATGTCTCAACTCATGTCATGGAGTATGATGTCGACTCTCCATTGTTGACATAATAGCAGTGCAGTCTAGCCAACACAAAGGGAGCGTGTGAGCGCAAGACTTGTTTACTCACAGAACGGAGCAACCGATTTGCTTCGGGTCGGCCTCGTGGACCTTGATGTTGCCTAGGCTGGACATGCAGCAGAACACACTAGCCCACGATGTCCATGTTGACTGGCGGTTGCGCCGCAAATCGTTCAAAGAAACGCCGGAAGGCACCCGGAAAGAGACAAGGCGCGAGAGACGGGAAGAGGAAGGCACGTAGAGACACCATCGAAGGGGTCAGCATGCACCGTAAGTTGACAGTGGGTGGTGGAAAATTTTATCAACGGGAAGGAGCCGGAAGTCAGCACTCAGGTCGGGAGGGGGACCCCACGTCGTTGTAACTTTTTCTCGTTGTCCCATCTGCTCTGGGCGCCAGTCTACACCTTCGGTGCATGTTCGGCACCCCAGCAAGGGTCGCGCAAGACCGGTTCTTCACCTTTCCGCTTGAGGTTCGGTTGCCGATGAAAACCTACGGTATGTGTCGCCCCTCAACTCATGTTGTCCAATAGAATCGCAGGTACGTTACGCATGAGTTTGGCGAGTCTGTTAGACCGGTGATATACAGCAAACTCAACTTGCCGGGTTTCAAAACGGGTCTCTTTGTTCGACTATAGTGATGAGCGAAGCTCTAATGTAGGACACCATCCACAGAACACCAGCATCACCAACAACTGTTGTGCGGCAACAACTCAAAACAAAGCTATGCATCGACCATCAGTGACAGACATTTTACGAAACAGTTTTCCTTCCGAAGGTTCGGCAATGTCAACGATAACAGCGACAACGGCGGACTCTTCATCACCATAATACTAACACTATACCACGGATAACCGCACAAGCAGCCACAATAAAAAGGACCGACCGGCACGGCAAGAGTATCATAGAGACCCCACCTTCAACATGAGTCCAGCCACCCCGAAGGTCAAAGACAGAAGGGCGAGGAAGTCTGGAGGCAACTGCTCTGGGTTGATAGGCGGCCTCACGAACGGGGTTATCCGTTTCACCGCCACCGGGTCGACCCGTGAAGTTGACGGTTCTTGCGTTGTCAGCGACATTGACCCGTCCCGCGCAATCTCCTCCTTTCCTTCAGAGAGCCGAACGCACGCCGGCTACAGCAAGCAGTGGTAGTCCAGAGCAAGGTGGGCGGGGGGGACTGTACTTATAGTCGTGGATGCCTTTGTCGTTAGACCATTGACGTCGCACCCCTACAAGCCCGGGACGGAGCACGCCGGGTTCTCACAAGACCAAGGGGGGGGAATACTCATGTCAACGCATGCCGCAGTTGTGAGACCATTGACCACGTGTCATCCAGGGGACGGACCATCACCGATGGCCAACTTTGCCAAAGGTGGCTCAAAAAAGGGGATCTATCACTAAAACGCACTGCCGAAAGCTGTTGAGGCATTAACCTCGGATCCCTAGTGTGTCGGATTTTCGCCGGCCCAGGTTGCGTTTTGCACTGACGGAACCAGGGGGGGGGGCGGGGGCGATTCGTGTTACATGAAGTGCTAAAGTAGTTGGTGGAGATTCTGTCGTTGTGGCGCTGACGGCAATGAGCCGTGCTACGCAAAATGTGTTCGCAGGAACGGGTGAGTCGTCGCGCATAAATTACGTACTTCCGGCCGCGATTCGAAAGGAAACTGCCCGTGTTTCTCGCGACAGATATGCAGAAAGCGCCCGCACAACGAACCATCCTCTAGTTGTGGCCGAGACAGGAGTTCGTAGTTCCTATTTAGGGTTGTTCTACGAATGGTCGCTTTATAGTTTTTAGTGTTGGAGTTCGAATAATACCCGAGCTCATAAATACTGCTCAAGTTCTTATGCAGTCCTTGATTTATTTCGAAGCTACTACTGGTTATGTATCAATGTCTTCATTGCCAAGTTTCTCAAAGTGCGGGCGCTCTCTGTGCTATGCATGCGATATTTCTTGGTTCGACGCTGTTGTATGTTTGGCCATGTTTACACCTTGCTCTGGTTCCGTACATGTAGTCTGTGACCGAGGAGGGTCTGACGATCTTTCCTAGATAGTCCTTGAGGAGATCGGAAGGTTGAGGCAAAGTCTAGATCATGGCATACTCGGTTCACGTCAGAAGCCGGTGATGCATTTGATCATGATGCATAGTGCAGCAGTTTATCAAAACTCTGAACTGCTATTATTTAGAGCAACAAACACTGTACCGCAGTAAGTACCTTCGCTCTCTCTCGCAAGGCGATCATCAGCGACATACTCACCGTCCAAAGAAAAAGGTCGGTGCAATTCTGTTCTTTCGTAGGGAACGAACTGACGCAATGGTTGTGAAATGCCACAGAGACTGCTGTGTGCCAACATACCTTGTACAACCACTGAGCAGTAAGCGGTAGTCCAACCAACGCAATAACGACTGCTGTGGAGTAGTGCATGTCCACAGTTCGTGCAACGGGAAATATGTACAAGTACACGGCACCAGGTACCTCTGACTTGTCTACAAGAACACCAGAGACTGACTGCCCGTCCGAGAATATTCTCATGCATGTACATGTAGAGGGGACGTTACGTATTGAATGAATGAATTCTAAACTGTGAGGATTGAGTGCTCTGGTATTGCTGCGGAGGTCGACTCTGTTGCGGTTGAATGCGGAGGATCTGTCGTTATTGTTTATCGAAACTGCTGTGTAGCGTGGAGAACGTTCATCCCTGATGGCGCCCTGCTGGGTCAAGATATGTACGCAGTTGTCTCGTATCAAACGAAGGCGAAGCACACTCACCCTCGAAATTTCTCCCCAGGGTAATCAGCGTGCCACTAAGAGCGATTGTCCAGCCTCTCTGCTCGCTCCTGGTCCGTTACGCTCCAATTTAACAACTGCAGTGAGTGCAATGGGGTTATCAGCTGCCTGTGTGCCTATGGGCTCATCTGCCATTTCGGGGCACCGTGTATCAATTGGCGAGAGGAGGCTGGGGTGGTGGAGCTCTTGCCTTGCTTGTTTAGCGGCCTCTACACAACCAACACACCAACACACCTCTTCTCCTTGGGAAACACGCCTGATTTCCGGTGAGGGTTGCCGGTAGCCTTCGATGCCTCTGGAAATCTGCGCAGTCGCGCGTATTTTGTGGCGTTGATGTGTCAGGATGAGGGTATAGTTTGAGACAAGGCCCAAAGTACAGCAGTTGAACATTGTTGTCTGCGCTGTCCTGCTGTGCATGTTTCTGCAGCACCCTATAGAGCGGTGGTAGCAGCAAGATGGCGAGAGAGAGGTCCTATGTTGACTCTCATGCCGCTAGCTAGCAGGCAGGGTCTGTAGCGTCCTGAGAGAAACGGGAGATGCCCACATCCTCTACCGAGAGAGCATCAGGCCGCATTTCTGTGCCGGAAACCTCGCATTCATACATACGTACGGTAGCGCCGGCTACACCTGACACATCCAGGTGAATCGCTGTGTGTGTGCACGGCATGCGGTGTTTCCCAGTGACAGGGGAGGGGGAAGTCAACGCGCAGCAGCCATCGGCAGTATGGATGCCAGCGTGCGCGGGTTGGCGTGTCGCACGTGTCACTGAGAACAAAATTGTCGGTTCAGCAACTTGTGTCTCGGCGATCTGTACAGCACAGCAAATACAAGCGGTGCAATGCAGCACTCCTGGATCCACCGATTGCACACCCTCGTGTTATCCTATTTGCAACTAGTTGCAGCAGCAGTAGTACGGAAAGCGTGCGAGTGGTGGCCCACCCTTTAGACCGAGTTTCACAGCTCGATTGTCCCACGACCAAGAGCCTGCCAATGTGGAAAAGGGGTCTCGTTTGTATGGATCTCACCCAGCGCTCTGGTTCGTGTACATCGGTCGGTCGCCGTTTCCTCGTCTACAGGTCTACATGTACAGTAGGTGTGCAACACTTGACCCTGTTGGAAGTCAGTCTACGTGTGTACGGTCACTTCGCCCTTTTGCTTCGTTTACACAGCCATCCGCGCGTTGTTTCGCGAATAAAACCGCCGGCTCCTATTACCTGGAACGCCCTTCTGCAGCAAAACATTCCACAAAGTACATATGTAACGTGTACCCTCCCTCCGCCCACACGCCAGCAAGCTTCTCGGCGATCATGACAACAACCGAACGCGGCCAAGCAATACCAGGCAAGACCTGCACAGGGCGACGATATCCGCATCAGCACTCTGCTACTGCTACTGTAGCGGTGGTGGGGTTGGCAGTGGCGGCGGTGGCGGTGGCAGGTTTTCCTAGAGCAGATGCGTTTTTCGTGGCACCAATGACGCCGCGCTTGGACGGGGCGGGGGGCTGTGGCGCGAGGGGGGGGGCAGTTGCTGCGGCGAGCGTTTGTCGTGGGCGTGGCGAGAGGGTGATGGTGCACATGACCGACGATGCTGCCGCTGGTAAGCTCTGAACCAATAGGCTTCGCCGGGTATTTCAATTAAGTAAACATGTTGGATGCACCATGTGATCGGGGAGGTTGGGTTGGGGTTAAGGACAGGGATACGGTCTGCGACCCCCCTCCCTGTTGTATTTCCTCACAAACTTCATTTCTCGCGAAGGCGGCCGTCCCTTGAAAGCGCATTGAACTATGGGACGCACTGACCTCAAAACGCAGGTGGCCATCTAACTCTTGTCCGTCTTGTCGAGCCTGATACCCACAGCGGAGATACCGCTAAACTGCTGTATGCTGCTCGGGGAACTGTAGAAATATCTTACAGGTTGGTCACCTTTCAACACTAGAAATCATTGCTAAATCTGTCACGGGCTCTTGTCTGCGGAAGACAGATTGATTTCTTATGATTTTGGTGTAGAAAAAACGGGCGTTGCCTGTGGTCTCCTGTGTCCAGTAGCAGCAGCAAAGAGAGGGAGACCGGGGAATCTGCCACGGCGTTCAGAATTCAGGCTTGAACAAGAGATATATTGAAGAACTGGGCCATAAGAACAGGTGCACAGTTAAGAAACCTACTTGTACACTTGAACTTATGTCGTCAAGAACCCAACAGAGAAGTTCGAAAACGAACCTTGCATCAAGGCAGAGGTTCCTAAGTGGAGGCGCCCGCTGTAGTCTTTGCGTCTGTTTTTCCGCTGTTTCCTAGCATGGTTTTCCCATGCAAGCAAAGCTACACCCAGTCCATCAATGCGTAATTATGTACGCGCAGACTGCTGCAAGTGCTCTGTTCTTTGATCTTGAACATGAGTCAAATAACCCACACGATCTTGTTGCAGGAGGAATTTGTGCGCGCGTCTACCCGGCGGGGAGCCCACCGTCTCTGATTTCTTGCAAGCGTTTTCGTTTATTGGGTGGTTGTTGGGACCGAGGGCGGCTTAGTGCAAGAGAACCTCGAGCATCCACAAGATAATATGTAACCTAGTTCCCAAATGACACCAGCGCGATTTCCTCGGTCGGTTGAAGGCATCTCCCCGGCAGATAAATACTCCACACTGTAGATATCGTTGTTCGGTGAAACATTTTGATGATCAGCAATAGAAGGAAGGCCCACCGCTGAAAAACCATCTCGTCCTTGCACTGCTCAAGGCTGGTGTGGTTATACGTTTCGTGAACCAGGGAACGGTTGTAGAGTAGCACCTGCACTCACTACTTGCATGATACCTACAGTACTTGCTTTTTGGCTTCTGAGCTGTAAGAAGTCGTCAACAGTTGGCCCAGAAGGAGGGAAGACGGTTGCGTGTTTTTGGTTCTTCCGGCCGAGGGAGCGACGCGAAGTCATTCCCTACGTACAGCGTACATTCATCCCATATCGTTTTTGCCCCCAAGTCTTCCTCTTTCCATGCGGTATGTTGTGATGAAGCAATCATGGTACATCTTATCATAACGTCATACTCATACCGTATCGTCACAATACGTTCCACCGTATCATGCCCTGTCGAGTCGTAGCCGATGATGTCGTACATTGTGTTCAGATAGGTACTACCTGTGCATGTTCTCCCATACCTCCTGCAGAAAAGCACGCCCCATGGCGAGATATGCCGTGTTTTGTTTTACTCTATATCTATAGAAAATCGGCCGATTTATTCCGTCGATGCGATGAGACGCCACATATACCCCGGCGTTGTACCTCACAACCGGCGGCGCCCTGTTGTTGCATAGGGGCAGAGTGGTCTACCTGTTTAGGAGCCACTCCGGTGTGTTCCGGTTTTAACCAAAAGTGATCTCTGTGTCTTTGGAGTTATTTGCAAAAATTCACGGGATGCACGGCCCATGGAGTTCCTATTGACCTGGTATAGGCATGGTAGATTGACAAGGGAATTGGGACCCGCCCCACCCAACCTTGTGGAATATGTTACGGAATGGACGCGTCACGTTACCCGGACCGTGTTCCGAACATTGTTCTTTTGCGTTCTTCACGTGGATGCTCGTTCTTTCGCAGAGGGCGAAGGGGACAAGCCGCAGTTCGTGCCGTCGAAAGAGATGACTACTAGCACCAAGGAGATCCTACCTCCCCCGGACAGAGAAGCGGTACGTGCTTTGCCTTCCCGCCCGTAGGCGACTGCGACATGGGGCGTTTGGGGGCAGTTAAACAGCATAGCTATTTTGTTTCCAAATTCCCAAATTGCCAAATCCGTAGGCAATAGAACCTCGATTTGCGGCCGAGGAAAAACAGTTGGAAATTTGGAAAATTGGAAACTATTGGCACCGCACCGAAAAAATTGGAACGAGTTGCTTCCAAACAATTGGAAATCTGCATAGTCGGAATTTGGAAATTTGGGAACTTGGCAATTCGGACATTTGAAATTTGGAAGCGAAACAGCTGTGTTTCAAACGGCCTTTTTCCCCGTACATGCTCAGACGGTATTGGTCAAGGCATAGACGATTTTAGGGGTGTCAAACCTGGACGATTTTCAACCATGTGCTAGTGAGCGTGTTTTTGGGGCGCTTGCCTCGCAATCAAGCCCCACGATAATAGCCACCACCCCAGGCGTGCCGTAGGTGACATGACTCAAGATAACACACCCCCCGGACCAATTTTCGAATCTCAGTTACTCCACGACGGAGAAGACGACGCGCAAATGAAACGATACGTTTTCGGAAAGCTCCCGACGAGACAGCTGCAAGGCCGCCGTTTTCGGCGCTGCCAGTCCACTCTTTCTGCTGTGGAGATTTTGAGCTTTGACAATTGGTCCAGGTTATTGGTGGTATCGAATGTCATGTAACACACGGTAGTCGCACGCTGCTTGCTGCTGCACACGCCCAACCGTGCATGGGATATGGAAACTGCGCTCGGTGATTTCATGGTTGACGTGCATACATATATGTACAAGTGGCGCAATTAACCAGCGTGAACAGAACAGCGAGCACCTTGCCGCTTCGACCAACGGTACGGTAGACATGCACGAGCCGCTTGCATGGAGTTAGATCACCGTTGGCCTATTTTTCAATTGGTAAACATTTGACATCTAGATGTGTGCATCCTCGTGTTGGTTAGTTGGCAAAAATATAAAAACAGAACGAACGGCAAACCAAGGAAGTAGTAAAAGAAAAATTAAATGGGGAAGCACCCGTGGGTACACGGCGATGTATTGTCTATTGTCACACGTTTGGAATCAAGAAGTGTGTTACAAACCCTTCTGTTGGGTAGTTGGCCTCTGACCACGGAAGGCGTCCGCGTCAGTTGGACCGGTACGGACGCTGGAAGGTGCGGGGCAGACAGAAGAACAATTTTAATGTGAAGACAGCAATAACAACGAACAACAACAACAACGTGAGTAACAGAAACATTTTCAATACCAATATGAACAACAACAACCGCGCCAATGAACGCATGCAGGCTATGAAGATGGTGGCCGAGAGGGAGGCTAAGGAATTGGCCAAGGGGGACGAGGAAGACGCTGCCTACACCTCGGCAGATATCCAGGACCTACCCCAGCCGCCGTACCATTTCAGGGTAAGCCAAGGTATATCCGAAAACCCTCACCGTGACTGCTGTACCGTGGGAAAATGAGCGGTGCACCACGTGTCAAGCGTGTCGGTTTCCATGACCCGTACACCCGTCCCGTGGTTTTTGAGGTTGTGCGTGTCTTGACTGGATTATTGTTAGCCCGACCACATGGTATCTTTCCGTTTGTCCATGCCGCAGTTTCCCTTGCCACGCGTCTTCCTGATTTTACGGAACGTCCCGTGCAAATATGGATGATCGCCCGGTTCTCACTTGTATTTTGGTTCACCGTTGTGTTTGTTACTTTCTTTTCGGGTTTCAGACTCCGGGCGAGTTCGGCAACGACACGCTTTGCACCGATCCCGCGTGGCACACAGCTCTTCTCGCCTTTAGGTGGCTCGGGTTGCCCTATGAGGTTGAGCATGAAGATGTGAGTATGCCGATTGTTGTTTATGACGGTGTGGAGTTTTTCGTTGTAATTTATTGTTGAGGGGCGAGTTGTTCTCCAAGACTCAAATACCGTAAACTACGGAGTTTTCCCCCCGGGGGAAAATTGACGTACCGCGGGGGGGTGGTTTTTTTTCCCAACGCTACCCCGGGGGGAAGCCCCTCCCGGGGGGGTTGTGCGAAATATTGGTAGTCCACACACCAAACACTCACCGAGAGTAGCGAAACTGAGATGGATAAGGTTTACGAGCAAGCGTTCAACAAGCAGAGGGAGGAGGAACGTAAGAACAACGAAGACAAAGAGAAGAAAGACGGCAAGGAGGGCAGCAGCTGGGGGAGTTTGTCTCGTTCCGCGAGTGATTCCAAGAATGGCAAGGGCCCGCCTTCCAGAGAGTACCCGCCAGCTCCGTTCACACTGCGGCGAGTATCTGGAAAGGGCGGGCGAAGTNTAAGGTTTACGAGCAAGCGTTCAACAAGCAGAGGGAGGAGGAACGTAAGAACAACGAAGACAAAGAGAAGAAAGACGGCAAGGAGGGCAGCAGCTGGGGGAGTTTGTCTCGTTCCGCGAGTGATTCCAAGAATGGCAAGGGCCCGCCTTCCAGAGAGTACCCGCCAGCTCCGTTCACACTGCGGCGAGTATCTGGAAAGGGCGGGCGAAGTGCATACGAGAACGTGCAGAAGCTGGAGGTGCTGAAGTTCAGCCGGAGCAAGTGTGCCGATGGGAACCCAGTCGGAAGGCGTGATGCTGGAAAGGTGTTCGGCATCGAATCGAAGCTCGTCCGGGGTCGGGAGCATTTCGCCCATAAAAAAACGGCGAGGGCCAAGTGACAAACGGTACACCTGTTAATAATCTCGCTCGAAGCGGAGATTTGCAGATGAATTTCCCGTCCCAGATCATGCTGTTTGTGCTCCCCGATGCAACAAAATCGACTCAGAAAAATACGGGGAATACACCCCCCCCGGGGTGAGCTCGTGGGAAAACTGGTACCCCGAGGGGAAACTGAAATACCCAGGGGGATCTTTTTTGGTTGGACCGAAATCGATCTACCCCGGGGCTAAATTAACGAAACCATGCTTCCAGGCCGAAAAGGTAGTGGAGGGGGGGGGGATCTGTATTGCAGGGGGAAAACTCTGTAGTTTACGGTATTGTCACTGATGATGTGAGCTGTATAATACTTGTTGTTTATCAAGATGTGACTAAATAGTTGTTTTGATGAAGATGTGAATGTAGCGATTGTGTTGTGAAGATGTGAATTTGTCTGAATTGTTATTAATGAAGATGTCAGTTACTGCTTGGTGAAGATGTGAGTATTAAATATGGTTTATGAATGTGTGAATTGTTGTTGTCGTGGGGGAACGTGTTGCTTATGAGGATGCGAGTATGATAATTTGTTGTGTATTATGGGATAAGGTGTTGCTCATGAAAATGGACGTGAGTAATTGTGTGATATGGTGAATTGTCATTGAGGTGTGAGTTGTTGATTGAGATGCGAGTGTTGTTCATGAACGTATGGGTTATGTTTGTTGAGGTGTGCGTTGTTGTTTGTCATTATATGAGTAACGTTTACAAAGGTGTGAACTATTTCATAAGGTCTAGAGTGCTGTTAATGACGACATGAACAAGTTATGCTTATGAAGGCGTGAGTATGGTGATTATTGTTTATTATAGTGTGAACAACGAAGTATTCAACAAGGTCTAGAATGGGGTTGACGACATGAACAAGTTGTACTTGTGAAGATGTGAGTATAGTTTTACTTGATTGTGAAGATGTGCATTCATTGTTTTGATGAAGATATGAGTAACTTTTCTGTGAAGATGTGAGTGCTTGGCCCCCAAAACCCAAGATTTGATTAATTTGAGTAAGAGCACCCCATGTACTTCATTATTTGTAGGTGTGAGTTGTCGTCTATGACGATATGAGTTATACCATTGTCTGTTGAGTTGAGTTTTTTTTTGCCTGTGAGTTGTTGGCAAGATGGCAGTTCCATGTATTAAGGTGTGGGTCTTTACCTAAGAAGCTGTGGGTAGTTGTGTTTGTGAAATTTGAGTTTTTGCTTATTTTGAAGGTGTGGGCTGTGGTAGTTGTTGCCTGCAGGCTGCTGATTGTGTTGCTGGTGTTAGAGCGTGCGCTCAACACTAGACACTCAACAGGGTCCCGCGATACTTCCCTCTTGCCTTAAACTAAACTATAAAGTTGAGCGGTTCCTCTCAGTCGGAAGACGACAGAGAAAGCCGCAACATCGCAACAATAATTGACGGTAAATTATCGACGTGTGTTGATTTGCCCCTCTGTCTCAATCTCCCTTAGTGCCCATCGACCAGCACGCGGCTCATCCTGAACCATCTCGATCAAGAGAAGAGCTTGTCGTCATGCTCATGATACCGCGCGCTGTCGTTCGTCGCTGCCGTTCTTTCTTGTATTCAAGCCCCCTCTTCCTCCGACCCTAGCCGTTCACTGCTGTCGTTCATAGTTGTCGTCCGATTGGTATTCCCGCCATAACCCCTTGTGAATACATTAAGTCTATTATCCAGGTTTTTCAAAGTAAGCAAATATACTGGATATGGTATGGAATCGACTTAGTTTGGGTTAGGGTCAGCGTGCCCCCTGCCCGGTCTTTTTCCGTATTAGTCTTACTTTCTCTTGATGAATCGGTCCGTGACCTACGCAGTTTTTTTTTGTGAAAGCAAACATATTCTGAACAAAGCACAGAATCGGCAAATTTGGGTTAATGGTCTGCGTGCCCCCTCCCTCGTCCTTTTTCGTAAAAACCGTGCTCTCTTTGCGTAAATGAGTCCGTAGCCTACGTAGGTTTTTCTGACCAGGGTTATGGTCTGCGTGCCCCCTCCCTCGTCCTTTTTCGTAAAAATCGTGCTCTCTTTGCGTAAATCAGCCCGTAGCCTGCGTACGTTTTTCTGACCAGGGTTATGGTCTGCGTGCCTCCTCCCTCGTCCCTTTTCGTAAAAACCGTGCTCTCTTTGCGTAAATCAGTCCGTAGCCTACGCAGGTTTTTCTGACCAAACATTCCAGGTAATGAAATTGGCTAAGTTGGGGCTGGGATTAGTTGGGTCAGGTTGTCCCGCTAATTCCGACCCCAACACCACGGGCCCCCCACCGGCAGGACGAGGACGAGGCGATGCTGGAGATGGGGGACGAGGTCTACGACGACCCCGAGGAGCTCTTGGCGGGGCTGCCGGAGAGGGTGCTTCTTTCCGACTTCGTAGAGTCGTTGGAACCAGAGAAAAACGCCGTCGCAAAGGTGATTTAGTCATGTGTAGCGGTATTTCCCCGGGTTTTAGGACGCCAGAGTCGGGTGAAGAACGACGAAATTGGTCTAAGGACGCCACAAATGGTTTCAGGGCGCCGAAAACGGTTTATGGACGCCAGAGTCGATTTTTTGGGCGCCCAAATCGGTTGAAGGACATAATTGAGGACAATCCCCGCTTTTGTAAGGACGCCGTTGTTTTTCATAAAGCTTGGCTGGTGCCCCGCAGGATGAAAACGATTGGGGCGTGTCAGTATATACTATTGATTCCTCCCTCGCTATAAGAACACTTTTTTTGAAGATTCTGCTGTACCCATGAGTTTCCTTACAACCACAAATACGTTGTGTGTCCTGAAATTCGGCATCGACAGAGTCGGGTCATGTGTCATGTCATATGTGTATCATGTGTGGTCGTGTGGTGTGCCACTTGATGGAGTGAAAACGAGGATTATTAAACCAAACGCGATGATGGAGGCATGTGCCGAAGACGCCGATGTTCCTCGGAACTGTGAACGCGAACAAACATGTCTAGTGTATGGAAATGTGGTAAACAGTTCTATATTTTATACCTCGTATGTCGCAAGTTTTTCTCCCTTGCTCTGACGTGTGTAGTGTAGTGGGTGGAGGTTCTACAACTAACGCTACATTTTTGTTTTATGGCCAGCCTTTCTCTTGTGCTCTGACATGTTAAGTGTTTGATGTTGTGGAGGTTCTAGTTTTTTTTTTCTTCTATTTTGCTACATTCATGCCAACTTTTCACTGTTGGTCGTCTTGTTTGTTTTTTTGCCAGATTTCTCTTGTGTTCTGACATGTTTGGTGGAGTGGAGGCTCTACAATGAAGGCTACATTTTCGTTTATTTCATGTCTAGCTTTTCGCTATTGCTCTGACATGTTTAGTGTGTTGTTGCAGAGGTTCTATTTTGTTTATTTTCAATAATTGCTGCATTTTGACCAACTTTTCCCTCTTGGTCGTCCTTTCCTTGTTTGTTTTTGGATCGATCGATCGATCAATGACAGCTGGAACCGGCGTGGACAAAACTGCACTTCAACAGGGCCGGGAAGACCGACCTAGACACGGATGAGCGGAGACTCAACAACTGGTGAGAGAAACACAGAAAGGCAGACAGGTAGACAGGTAGAAAGGTAGACAGATGGGTAGTAGGTAGGTAGACAGATCGGTAGACAGACCGGTAGACAGAGACCGATAGAAGGAAGACAGGTAGACAGACAGGTAGACACAAAGTTAGACACAACGGCAGACACAATGGCAGACACAAAGGCAGACAGACAGGAGAGAAGACAGACAAGAACACACGAAGCATTATTGGGTGGTGGGCATCCAGTCCATCTTGTTGTTGCAACGACCGAATTTGTTTCAAAATTGTGATGGAAATGGACAAACATGTTTTGAAGGACTAGCCTAAGGGCCTTCGGTACCAGACGGTACCCCCCATCCACACGACGTGACACTCGTTTCCGTGGCATACGTTACGTTTCGGACCGCCTTCGCGAGAATTGAAGTTTTCGGACCGCCGTCTCGAGGAATTAAGCTTTCGGACCGCCTTCGCGAGAAATTAAGTTTTTGAGGAATCAGAACAGGGAGGGAGAATGCAGGCCCTATCATCCCAAACCCTAACCCGCCTTTCCCAATTGCATGCTTCATCCAACATGTTTGCTTAGTAGAAAAACCTGCTAAGGCTGCTGGCTGCTGTAGTTTTCGGGTAGGGGCTTCGTAGTGAAGTTTCGAAACGTTCTCATCGGCACGTTAGGAGGCGTCGGCCTGACCGTGCGTGATGTTTTTACCGTGCCTCGGTGGTAAGGGCGACCGTACCGTCGTATGGGAGTGTGCTCTCTCGAAATCTAGTACGAAAGTCAACACTTGGAGGTCTGTCTTACCGTGGTGCTTCTCCTAAGTGTGCCTCTCCATTTGTACGGTACACTACGCTGCTGCGTCTAAGAACCGCTTCGAAGATGTTCTTGTTGCTAAAGACCGTTGTTTGAACTCTGCCTCGAGAATACTGAGAACATCCTTTTCAAGCATATACTTCGTATTTTGTTCATGTTGCTGTTTTGGTCGCATCCTGTTGGTGTTTGCCCGCAGCCTCGAGAATATTGAGAACATCCTTCTCAATCAAATCCTTCATATGTTGTTCTTGTTGCCGTTGACCGTTGCCTGTTGGTGCTTGCCCGCAGCCTCGAGAATATTGAGAACATTCGTTCGAAGCGCATCGTAATTTGTTCCTTGTTGCTGTTGCCCGTTGCCTGCTGGTGTTTGCCCGCAGCCTCGAGAAGATTGAGAACATCCTTTCGAAGCACGGGCCGGCTCGGGGCCCGTTCTTGGAAGGAGACGACCTGACTGTCGGCGATCTCCGCCTCGCCGTCACCACGTATCACATGCTGGCGGCCTTTGACATCGAAAAGCAGTGGTGAGACTTGTTTCTTGTTGATCTTGTTCTGGTGTTGGATATTGGTTTTGTTCTGGTTCTTGTTCCTGTTCTTGTTCGTGCTGTTTTTTTTGTTTTTGTTCGTGGCGTTGATGTTGTTTTGTTCTTGGTTGTCGTTGTTGTTATTGCTGCTGCTGCTGCTGCTGCTGCTGCTGCTTCTATTTTTTTTGTTGTGGTTGCTCTGTACGCGTGTTCCACGCACTTTTCATGTAGACCACCTTCGATATCAATAACCAGTGGCAAGAGGTAGGTCTCTCTGCGTGTCGTTTCTGTTGTTGATGATGTTGGTCCACCCGCACATGTTGATCAAGTTGTCCGCCACAAGTGAACGTTCGCTGGAAGCCCATGGCGGTCCTTTTGTCATAGCGGAGACTACTCGGTATTTTGCTTGCTTGTCGAATAAACTCTTGGCCTCCCACACCGTACCCCACTCATTTCGATTGTGATAGCAACTCGACGAGTATCTTCGCGTTGCCTGTCCGCACGAAGCTTTCCAATATTTCAGTTTTTCACGGGAAACATTTGCAACTTTAACTCTCCGACCACAAGTTCCGATACCTCAGTCATGTATGTCATGAGCATAGGGCATATGCCCTTGCGTGAAGTTTTTTTTTTTCCGTCGCCCAAAAGAGTGAAACACTGAACGAACGCAATGCACCCCTTGTGCTTTTTTTTTTCAGGACGTTTCCGGATAAGCTGGTGAAGCTCAAGGCCCACATGGACCTCTTCCACGGAATGCAGATGTTCCACATGGTCATGCCTTCCCGTGAAGACTTGGCAAGAAAATACGCCCTCTAGACACACGCGTGGATCTAGCCCAAACATAGTAGGCACACTCGCACGCAAAATACATGAAGGAGAGCAGACGATGAGATGGAAGGCGAAGCATTGCCCAACACCCTTGGGGACGGTTGGTTATTTTTGCCCCACCAGCCGTGTATTTGTATTTGTGTGTCTTGTTCAGTAGCATCGACCGTGCTAACCGGCTGACCAATGAAGAGACTTCAGTCTCAGTGCGACTGCTGTGTGCTTGTTTTTTAGGTGTGAAGTTCCCTTTGGGATGCTTAAAGGCGTTGCTTGCCCGGTTCTGTATTGCGCGGGGGGGCAGGGGCGGCACTCCCCTAGACAAAGCTAGAGAATTGTTGGACTCTCACCCCTGGTTAGGCTTTGAATGCACCTTGTCGTGATGATTTAGATAGGGTTGGGCGCGCGACTGGGTCCGCCATAGAGAGCACGGTACAAGAGGGTTGAGGATTGCATCACCGTGCAGCACCAGGCGTCTCGGGAGTTTCTACACTATGCATAGTACCAGGCTCGTTAAGACCTATTATTTCGTTTGATCAGGCAGACAGGGCACGCAGTCCGCGTGTTTATCAGGGCAAATGCATCTGGTGCTCTTGGTGTGGTTCTTGCGCTTGTCATGGAATGAAATTCTCGGCAAACGAAGCAAGAGAACCACAACTTTTTAGCGTAAGCGGCCTGCGGCATGAACAAACATGCCCGGACTTTCATCGATTGAAATTCTTGGGAGACCAAGTGGAACAACAACCTTTTTCTTCTTACAGTAGCGTCAGCGGCATGCCGCGAGAGAGTTGGGGCATGGCCGGCAACGAAAAACCTTGGGTTTTGCCGCATGTACTGTACGTCAAGAACCATCTCCAAAACCCAGAGCATTGGCCCGCAACACCTCGTATTTTCATTTGTCATCACGCCCAATCAAGACCAAGACAAGCCTGGGTAGGCATCGTGTTCGGAAAGACTCAGTGAGTTAAGAAGAGACCCTTCGGAAGACAACCTTCCTTCGTGCCGTTCCTTCGTGTTTCTTTCGACCAACCCCTGTTCGGCTGTTCGTGATATCTTCTCGTCTTGTTGAGCGCAGAAAAAAACCCGGCCGCATCACAAGGCCTGCGCAAACGCGACACGCGCCAAGATTGGGTGTGAGCATTCTTTCGGGACAAGGAACAGGCAAGCTACACAGCCGCCGTTAGACTGCGGGTCTCAAGAGCAGGCCAACCACACGTGGGCGTTTCCGTGTTTCCTCATCCAGCCCGCCTAAAATTACTGTTTTCATTGTTGCTCAAGAGTTTCCGGCATATGATTCCAAAAACCGCATCGCCCCCGAATAGCCAATCGCTACGCAAGCCCCGGAAGGGATTGCGGTTATATTCCTACAAAAAACATCCGAGATTGCCTCTCAAACTATCTCCGTATCTAAGAGCATCCAGGGCGACAAGAACAAATTCCAATCGTGCTACAATATCTGGGCCAAGAATATGCCCTATCGGAAGTGAACTACTGCCATGTACGGCCGGTCGACACTTTTCTCCTGTCCCCCCAAGAGTCCACGCAAGATTCCATGCAAGATTCCATCACCCACTTTCAATACGTGTTTCCAGTGCTAGGCTCTCGTCTCGTCGCAAATACTTTACGGCAAACGCCTCCTCAGGCCACACTCCCCTTTTACCCGAAAGGGTTGCGGTCATCCCACAAAGACCACAAAAGACCGAAGAGAGGCCACGCTCCATGTTGCCCAAAAGGGGTACAGCCGTCCCATGAGGAAAGGTACATCTTCCATGTCCAGAAAGGCCGACTCATCCTTTCAACACAGACGAAACAAAGTCTTCGACCCGAAGGGACGCGAAGCGGGGCCAAGAAAGTAACACACCGCACTAATCGAGGTGGTTGTTCCCGTCATCGTTTGCTTCCTGCCCATACAATAGGAGGGTGTGGAACCCAAATGTGAGCACATCTCCCGCGAGGGTAAATCTCTACCGCAGAAGCGGTGCCGGCACCACTTACGAAGCCAGCACGTCCATGCTCTCTCTCTCTCTCGCTTGTCTCTCTTTTGTACCAGTCTTCTCTTCCAAGCCCACGATATACAAGGGACGAAAAACACCCACACCAACACCAACACCAACACCCCGAAGGAAGGGAAGGCACATGTATCATTCTTGTCCTTCCTTCCTCGAAAATCGCAAGGCGTCTGTCTCTAATCCCAATGGGCCGTGTACAACCGCGCCCTCGGGCGAATCCTACACAAAAAAGGCGCTTGCTGTTTCCCATCGCGAGCAAGAAAGACCACCCTTCTCCCCGTAATTCTTCGATAATGCATGGATGGGTACGAGCACCTCCTTCGACCACAGCAGAAAAAGACCCCCCGGGCCTTGCATCCCTACCCCAAGGTGGGACAAAGGGATTAACTTGACGGTGACACCAATCTACGCATTCGTGATACTCTTGACATTGCAAAAATGACTCTGTACAGAACCTACCCGCGTCCAGGCAACAAGCTCCCACGCCGGCATCCACAATTAACCGTCGTCACGGGGTGTTCCGTTCCGAGGTACTTGCATGTTTTCCTTGCGGTAAACAGTTATCCCAGGGTGTCCTTGAGCGAGCTCTTGGCAGCGAGCTCCTTCTGAGCCTTCACCAAGATCTCCCTGACGGCCATGAGGCGGTAGGCCGTGCTGCGGGACTGTCAAGTGTGGGGAGAGAAATTTCAAGGAAATTTCCGTGGAAATTGAGCAGTGGCGGTGACGGGACAGAAAAACGAAAAGACAGAGAGCAAACATGACGGTATGACGCACGTCAATGTTGATTCAAATTCCTTCCGTCAAACGCGAAAATTCAGCAAATTCAGCGCTGATGCTAGCACCCATCATTCTCGCAGTAAGTGACATGGGTAGAAAGCGTACTGAAAGTGACCACACCTTCAAAATTTTCAAAGATCGGCCACTCCGCAGCAGAAAAGGCGGCGGTGCCGGAAATGGCGGCGTGGGAACCGTGCCGTCGCGATGGGCTTCCCAAAAATACTTGGATTGATTGATTTGTGTTTGTCGTCCTCTTCCGTCGTGAACCAATTGAATCACCTACATCGACTTGATATTGCTTTGAAAATCGTTCCAGGGGGTGTGATATCTTACGTCATGTCATGTCACCTACGTTATGTGCTTCACCACGGCGGGAAGGCGTCACGACCACGAGATACAGTATCACCACACAGCGGTGGCAGCAGCCAGTCAATCACAAGTCAGAAAACATGGCAGGACGAGACGGCCAAAGAGCTAGGTCAAGCCATCAACTACAGCGGAGAGGCGTGCGCACCCGAACCTTCCTCATACAATCACTAGGAGGTGAGGACGATACGATACCACCGGCAGAAGACCATTTTACTCAGAATTATGTAGGGGGCCGGACGGTAGCCCCCACCTCTCTTACAAAACACAATACAGGAGCGATCATGATGTCGTCAACAGACTCCAGTGAATAATCCCATCACCAAGTCGGCGAAGTCTACCAACCTATTCCAATAGCACGGTCGTCGTCAAGGGTACCACCTGGGCGGAAACCTGATCGCTCAAAACAACCAGTCCAAACAGCACTCTACCGGATACCTTGTGCACACAATGCACCCACGAACGTATGATTTTATGGTTTCTTCTCAGTTTCTAAATGGTCAGTTTCCAACGGCTTCATGATAAGCCGCAATGGCCAATATGTCGAATCACTGAGAACTTCTGAGTGAAAAAAATGAGAATTTACCAAAGATTTCTGGTTGAAGTATGGTCAACTTTTCGATGCTGCTGTGTCGCTTTTTCACAGAAATGCTGTTGTTTGTAGATACGCATACAACACACCGATGGTCACCTGTCGATCACTGCCCACTTCGATTTCCTAACCGAGATACGAGGATCAGAAAGTGCTTCCAACTGTCATCACCCCACCGGTAACCTTCAACGGCATCAGCATGTACCCCCAACGGTAACCGTCAACGGCGTCATTCAGTCACTCCTGACCTGGAGGAGGAGCTGCTTGGTGCGCGACTCCATCGCAATCATCTCGGCCACGGCGTAAGAGAACTTCATCCGCCTCTCATCCTCCTTCGCTTGCTTCGCCAGATCGTCCCCCGCGGACTCCCCTTCCAGACCCTCGTCACGCCTCACCTTGGGAGAGTACCTTTTTCCGGCAAGAAAAGGGTAAGATAGGAGAGGGCGTACGGAAGTGTGTCGATGGGAAAGTATACCTTTTTCGGGCAATATAAATGTGCCGATGGCAAAGGGTGTAAGGGAGGGTGATGAAGGAAGAGGGTTCCTCCTTGGTGTAAGAAAGTGTGCCATGGGAAGGGGGGCACTTTGGGGCCATGAAAGTGTGTCAATAGGAGAGGGCTGTACCTCTTTGGGGTGACAAAGGGCGGAATGGGAGAGGGTGCCCTACTCGATGATAGCTCTACCAGCTCTTAGCTCTTCCGAGCTGTAAGCTCCTATAACTCTTGCTCTAGAGCTCTTAGCTCTTACAGCTCTTTGCGCTAGAGCGCTTGGCTCTTTCGAGCTCCTATAGCTCGTACCTCTGGTTGCTACTACTGTTGTGACTGTTGGTGTTGCTGTTGCAATCGCCTGCAGGAAGTCTATCATAAGTGGCTTGCATCCGCTCCTAACAGAGAAAATTTCATAACATTTACGGCGCGCTCGTAGAACGAGGGTGCCAGGCCAGTGGAGTGCATTGTGCCATGGTAGAATCATCTCATTGGTTGAGCGTCCAGCGTGCAAAACTGAAGAACCACTCGTCAAGGGTTCGGTTCTCTCCAGGAGAGATCACCCTTACTGGTCGAGCAGTGCAACAACAACAGTAGAACTAGAACAATCTCATTGGTCGGGCGTGCCCACCTCAAGAACCACTCGGAAAGGGTTCGGTTCTCTCCCGGGGTGGCGGGAGGCGCTAGCTTGTTCATCAGCTCGACCACGGAGTTGACGGTGTCGTACACCTGCCAGCCAAGCATGTACACAAGCAAGCAAGGTCTTTGGAAGAAAAGCAAGGCGCAGGGCAACGTAACGACCATCTCGAGCGGAAACATCGAATCAGAGAACCAATAATTTTTTCCATCACTTCAAAAATCAGCTCTAACAGCATTCTGCTGGGTAGGAGTTCCAAAGGTAACCGTTGTAACCTGTTTCGAAACTTACATAGTGATACAGGGTGTAGGACGTACTG